TAGTAAAGATTATTGAAATGGCAATAAGATTAGAGAAAATATATATATTTATTAAGCCCACTTTTTAACATTGAAAATACCTCATCTGACCCAGTATGTTGTCTACATCTATTCCCACAACAATGTTTTCATTTCTTTGAACACCAATACCCAAATGATTTTCTACAGTTGGTATGTCTTCTACAATCCCAACATTATCCTCGAATTTAATTTCGGGTTTTGTCACATTTTGATTGACCAAATAAATTTTAATATTGCTATCTAATGTAGCTCCTAAAGTTTGAAGCATCTGCCATATAAAAAATTTTTTCTACTAAATCAACAGATTGATGATGAGCATAAAATTACAATTTTAATACTAGACAGGAATAGAGTGATTCCAACAATATTTTAAAAGGCAAAAGAATTATGAGATATAAAAATAAATAAACCATAGTACCCATTTCCAAAGATTTAGTCTAAATAAGAGTCTAAGTTCTAAATAAGATTTCTGCTTGATGACAAAAGACTGTCCAAATAGTGCAAGAATAATACGAAAACAGATTGTGCAAGTGGACTTTTGTACCAAAATTAGTGAACGATTAGGAAACGTGAGAGGAAATATATTGTCATGAAGTCATAAATCAGTATTTTCTTTTACAAACATATGCTGCCAACACCAAGCATTATTTTTATTCAGAAGATCACGTAGCCTAAAGGTTTTGCACGTTCTGACAAATCAGGAATAAATTTCACCAACTGATTCGCCGTTCTCAAAAATAGTCTGAGCCCTGAAACATCAGTAGGAGTAGGAAAATCGTTTATGGCTTTTACTTTTCCGGGATCCTTACAAATTCCTTTCTCCCCAATTATTTGACCTAAATATTCAAGATTCGTAGCATGAAACACGCATTTATCAATGTTTAGCTTCATACCCTCTTCCTGTAGTCGATCCAGGAGTTCTTTTAAACATGTATCCTGCTTCACAGCGTCAGTACTCAAAATTATGTCATTCACGTGACAAGTCGTATTGAAAAATACTTCCATAATATCATTGCCCGATTGTTTCAGCAGATTTTCATCAAAGAACGCTGTCAGCCGTTGGAATAAATCTTCTGGTTTTTCATCGTGTTCTAATTTAATATCGACTAAGTCAAGAAAATGAGCTCTAGTAGATTGAAATTCAAAATGCATACGTTTTGATTGCCAAATATTTTCCAGACAAGTTGAGTGGTTTACAATTGTATTTCTGGCAATTACAGGACAATAATTAGCAATTTGCCCGAGCATCAATTCTAGCGATGTAAGTTTTTGAATCGATGATTGTCTTGAAACAGATTCTGCGTCGTCTTCAAAACCTCTCATAGGGGTGAATTTAGATTTCTTTCCCCATTTGTATTCTGGCTTGAGAATAAATTGCTGTCCAGCGACAAAGTATATAATAGGTTTTGGCGCCAACTTTCGAAAGAATTTATTTTTTCGTTCGTAGTCAAGCACCATTGTTTCGGTGCCTTTGTTGACGCCATTGTAGTAGTTACAATGGACTATCGTTGTATTCGCCCGTTTCAGGATAGATGAATTACTACTGATATCTTTGGGCATTAGCCGAATATTGCATGTGTTGAGATAGCCTTTGTATAATCATTGACTCTTAAAAAAGTTATGTATAGATTGGTTTGATTAATTTCTTGAGCAGAGCCTTGTGTTTGCTGGGTTCCATTTATAAGGTTGAAAGTCAGGACACACGTCAAAATAAAGATGTTTCTTAGAAATAAGGACAAATATTTCCTAAAACAAAAACCTTCAAAATAAGGACAAATTCTAAAAAGAAGGACGTTGTGGCAGCCCTGATTATAGGTCAAGTGGAGAAAAAACTTCTGTGAAAGCTACAATACTTGAGATGGAGTGAGACCAAAATGCTGTGCTACTAAGCGTTTTTTTTTTATATAAAGTGCAAAGTATTCATTTTCTTCATCCCTTTACCTACATCTGACTGACATTTTTTGCAATGCATCGCATTTTTGATGCCTTGCTTTCTTTCGACAAGGAAGTTGTCACATCATCCTGGTCATTTGCAAGACAGACTGTGTCTTCATTTTCACAATTACTTTCATTTTTATCAAATTTCTTCGTCCTTCAGCAAATATTTCTATCAGTCATCAATGAACAGGGCTAGTTTTCGAGCTGTGATGCAGGAGCGTCGTCGTCGTTAAGCATCTTGTCTGAACAAAACCAACCGTAACGCCCACCACTTGGAGGTGCAACATCGCCTTTGTTTGTTTATTATACGGCGAGTGGAGTTGGACATCTAGTAGTAGTATATATTTACGATTATATATTACAGTTAAATTATCGAAGACTTCACAAAGGCATCGATGGTTAAACCCCAAAGCTGAACTTGCATAGGAACTAGCAATGTGGCAGATTCGTTATGACATCATTATTAACCTCACCAATGGCTAATCAGAAAGATGTCAACGGGGGTGGCAACAATTTTAATTTTAGCAGCCGCTCAGACATAAGCTAGCTACCCCCCCTAACATTTCAACATTTTTTAAATGTCATTTTGCGGCATTTGCAGTTAGACATAAATTCCTACGCCTTTTCCAACACCATTTTACCATTTTACTCTATTCTTGAACGATTTACTGAAAATTGACTTTTCCTGAACTGCTTTCAATAATCCTTTCACCAAATGATAGAACCGAAATAGATGGAAATGCGCGCTTGTATACCTTGGATAACTTCTACAGCGAAGTGGATAAGTTCTTTAAGATAGGATAGGATTTACATATTTATCCAAGGAGAGGAAAGCTGATAAGACGGCTTAACCATATGGTGAACCACGGCCTCCCGGTTACCATTCCATGTCGGGTATGGGATTAGGTAGTTAGTTATTTGTTTTCAGAAGCATGGACTTGATGGTGGAGAAAGCCGTAACCGCCCAGCGCTTAGCACGATGAGCCATAGCGCCGCGCGTAGATATTGTTAGATATCATTGGCTGCTTCTACCCAGCCTCGTTCGGAGCAAAAGCCACGAGTAAGCGTCGTAGTACGTCTTTATACAAAGGAAAATTTGGCATCTCCAATACACAACACTGTGTAATGTGCGTAAGCTTGGCAAATGTATTATATCTACGTGTTCTAAACATCATTCAATGATTTAGCCAATTTCCCATACTTCCGTCAGTTCGTTGTGATGTTTTGTGCACGTTTTTAGAGGAAATCGATATTGTTGTTGTTCCCAGATGTCTACCTAGATTTCTTGTTAGCTCTCGATATATTCGTTATTGAAATCAAATTATTCTATTTTGAAGTTTCTTCTTTCGCTGGTTAGCTCGTATAGTGCCTGAATTGACAAAAATCCATGCAATAACAGACAAAAAGTCATTTTATTTAGCTTTGAATGTGTTCATTGACAACTTGCAATGTATTTCTGAGTTTTATTGTTTTCCTCGAAAGTGTCATTTAAACAGTTTCTGAACTGGCAAACTAATGTTTACACCATATCTTCAGGAAATTTGCTATGTTGCATTTTCGAACAAATATCCGATTTTAGGGAAACGCCTGATTTACGCAAAAACGAATATTGAGTTTCATTTTATGTCATTTTGCCTAGGTCACTCATCACGCTATAGTGTGGGAGCAAGTGGGATCCAGTGATAAGAATTTTTTAAACATCATGGAAACGGCGAGACTTAACATTTACATTAATTTTGTGTTTAAAATATGTTATTTTCAACTAATAGCTAATTTACTCGAACGTGGTATCATGGTGTTGTTCGCGCCCATCATTGAACAAACGTCCTCGGAGGTTCTGTCTTGAATGGATTGTTAGACTAGAAACCAAAACGTGTATATATATATATATATCAAGTAGAAATATTTCACAAGAATGGACAGTTACAAAATACGCCAGCCTCATCCATTTCATCAATGACGGAAGACGTGTATTGATATAAAACCTGATATTTATTATGCAAATGCTGTTTGTCGTTATTCTTCATTTCAACCTTTAATGTTAAATCTGTATCTACCTATTTCATTTAAGCTTGGGTTGTTAAATCTATAAAAGTATTTATTCCTATTCCAAATATGTTATCACGGCTTGCACAAACAATCGCCCATTGTATACGTGGTGAAAAGATTCGTGGTGAAAATACGTTATCACGGCCTGCCCAAACAATCGCCCATTGTATACGTGGTGAAAAGATTTCGTGAAAAAATTAATTTCGTTGCTTCAATATGTTTTACAATGTATGTATGGCGAAAGGGGAAGCACAGTAGAAAACTTATATCTTACACGATCCTTGTAATAAATTTATGTTGTTACTATGTCATTGTTCTCCACCTCACGCGACGTAGGAGCATACACAATAAAATTTTATTAAAAATTCGAATATGGCATAAATAGTAGATATCGAAAGGAATTATAGGGCAATTAACATTACCTTGAATTTACTTAGGAATCTATTTTTCCCGTTTTAATGTTTATCTTATTGGGCTGGTTTTCATACAATGTAACATCTTTTCTATACCGTCACGAACAATGTAGAGTAATCTAAATCTTTGCTGATACCAGAATCAAAAACAACGATCTTTTTGTTATCAAGTTTGGCGCAGATGTTTAGCTAAATTTAAAATACAAGTGCAGGCAATAATATACCACTGTAGGTATAAACACGAGTGTTACATACCAGAATCAAGAATGAGAAAAATGACAAGTTTTCGAATATCATATACGCGAATGATGCTGTACTGGGATGACCACCTGGTGATATTCAGCGTGTAACTTCATTTACGATGAAAGAACCAAAACGCTTATAATCAATACCGAATCTTAAACTGTTGTGCTCGGCGATTTGAATAATTTTCATAATCCTAGTTTTTGAAACATATACATATACAACGTTCCTGTTTTCAGTTCATACGCTGTGATTTAACATTCTGACCTCATTCAAATAGAATCAGTCGGTGAAGCAAAATGACTTTTTGTATCTTGATAGTGCTATCTTTTTCAGAAGTACTGTATATATTGATATACTGTATCAAACATTATGGAGATATATTTGACTGAAATTGCTAAGGATGGGTCTTTTATCCTGCGTATGGATGTAGTAGAAGAGCTTTTAAGTGCAGCTAGAGCCGATGCAATTGCATTTGTGGCAATCGTAGGACCACCAAGAGGCGGGAAATTTATGATTGCTAAAGCATGTTCAGCTTATCTGGAACGACCAAAGCAGGTTTATTTCAATTAGTGTTTATTCCAAAACTTTTTTTTATCACAGTCCCTCATTCTACTAACTTATTAACCACATAGGACAAGCAACAACATTTTAAGCCAGGTGTATCAGGTGATAGCAACATACGAATATAAAAAATTATACTAAAATGATATGCAATATTGCGGGTTGCAAGAGAGTGGTGAAAAATAACTTGATATTTTTAAATGCCAATCCCTCCAAATTTACCGCGTGTAGAGAGCTAATGGCAAGTGTGATAAAACGTTATAATATATTAACATGATATTATTATAATAGATTATTCAAAGCTTTGAGTTACAAATGACAGCATTATAATATCTGGAAATGTGAATAACGAAAGTGGGTTGTGGAAATATAACAATTAGGTTGATATGTTATGGGCATTTCATAAGAAAGACAAATTTGGCCAGCTATGTCTTTACAGTATTACAGATTTTTCTATTGTCTTCAATATTAGGACCCAGCAAAAACTGAATGTATTCCACTTTAGATGGAACTGAGAGACCAAGACATATTTGATTACAATGCAATCAGAGACCACGATAATGGTTATATTATTGCACTTAGAAGAACAGTGGATTTTGAGCACGTAAGTGGACTTTAGGAGTGGACACAAAATGTTTAAAGTGCTACCTGATTCATCCACTTTTCATCGATTTAAATAAGACTTATATGATAGTAATACAAATGTGTGTTAGTGTTGGAAATCTTGTAATTTATATGTTGGAGTTTCCCAGACGTTTTCTAGACGCCATTGCTTCTGTACTATACAGCCAACAATATTTCAGTTAGGCCTGTCGAAGGTTTCATGACGGTGCTTTTGATTTTTTTGACCTGCAGAAGTGTGTGCACCAAGATGGCGCACAACCTGAACATAGTATGCGTACCAGATTGGGGTTCAGGTTGTGGGCCATCTTGGGCACATACTTCGGGAGCGCCGATTTTTTATGACATGTTGGCGTATTTATGTAAGAATCACTTCTCAAATTTTAATCCGCTGTTAACAATTAGTTAGGCTTTGTAAAAATAGAAAATATAACTGATAATCGGAAACAGGACATTGGATGAATTGGTAACGTGTAGACTGTAGGGTAAGTAGGGACCAGAGACACCTATTTTTAGAGCATTATTACGACTGACATCCAATATCTTCGCAGATGAAAGTATATTTCATTGTGACTCAAATTCCAAGAAACTTGGATAAGCCGAAGGCAAATAAACTTCTACTTTGGACATCAATGCTAAGCTCCATTCAAATATTCAACATACCGAATCAAATATCAGAATTGGATGAGCTGCGTACCAAGGTAAATATTATTTATAGCATTCTCAATATCATCTCATTTCGCAAACATGAGCATGTCCAACTTAATAAATAACTCCGATGAGTTCAATGCATTATAATAGGAATGAGTTTTTTAAATATTCACCTTTACCCACTTATACTGACTATAAGTCGGGATCACAGAGTAGTAAACTGGTCATTTTATTCTCCTATTTTTTTTTATTTGGGAATCGTAAAAACTATTTTCGAGCTAGCACGTGGTGAGCTGACAATATATAACAACCCCATATATTTAACAGTGTAACTGTATTGTTCCAGATCATTATGCAATACAACGGATTTATAGCATCGGAAAATATCAGGACAGTGGTAAGTTACCAGGGGCTGATATTATTTAGAATATTCTTACACATCCCATAGCAGTAGCACACTGTTGACAATTTTTGAATGATATGTTCCTCTCTATTTACTTAACAAACAGTCATGATTATCTTCTCAGTTTATTGTTTCATCTGTAGTTGTTCGAATTTCTATCAATATATATACATAGATTTTTCTTCGCGACGTACTCCGGGAAAAGTACGAGATGAGAAAAGAGAAAGTCGGCGAATCACAGGTGGATTGCTATACCCTACCTTCACCAGGACAAGACATATTTAGAGCAGGTTTGTAATCGGAAGTCCGAAGAGCATTAGCTTATCGATATTCAAATTTTTATAAGTGATTAAACAAAGTCGCAATCACTGATTGACCACCATAGTAATCTAACTTATAATTTAAGTATTTTTGTGGTACTATGGTGGGGAGTGTCACCTATAACGCCAGGCGTCCATTGAAGTTTTGCCCCTTCTATTTATCTCCTCAAAACACTGTGGTTATTTGAAAAGACTACATATGCTTCTTCTAAAATAGCTACGTCTTTCCAGTAAACCCCTTTTGTCTAAAATTTGTATTTTTTGAAACGACCACGACCCCTCGAAGACCAATTGCATTCTCATGTCTTCCTAGTAATACCCTTTTCCCTAATTATACATGCAATTGGTTCTTACAGGAACATATGCTTGAATAAATTCAGTGTTATAATTCATTACGTAAGAGCAAATTGCAAATTCCCTTTTGGGTTCTCACCAATTTTGGGCGCTCCCGAAGTATGTGCACCAGGATGACACACAACCTGAACCCTAACCTGGTACACATATTATGTTCAGGTTGTGCGCCTTCTTGGTGCACATACTTCTGGAGATCCCAACTTAGATGTTAAGATTTAAAAGCTCTTGACAAACGCATCTTCATGAGAGTTTTGTATACCTAACAATTTGAAATGATTAGAACGATTGTGAAAACTCTTTATTCCTCATATCACCACTACTAGTCCCAAAAGCCGCGATGGAGTTCAAAAGGTCATTGCTTGATCATTTGAGAAAAGTTTTTACTTCTTTGGAAGCAAGGTCAATGTTCGGACAACCGGTATCGGGTTCTCAACTGCTTGTTTACTTGAGTGAACTCGATATAAAGAATATACGTGATGTAAATCCAAGTAGGCTATATAAATATATATCATTGCTGAGAGATTCCTTCATTCGGGAAAAAAGATTAAATGACTATGCAGTTCAGGGGCGTGCCAAACTTTTCTGCTGCCCGGGGCGAGTTTCTGATAATGCTGCCCCTTATCCCTAACTTAAAATATATTTCGAGGGTTAAACAGAATATAGATGTCGTTATACATATAAATGAATAAATTAAAGGTCAAGTAAGAGTGAAATGTTTGTATTAATCACTAAACTAAACTAAACGTATACGATTGAACTAATGTATCAAACTCATGTATTAAGAAAAAGCAAGTCATTTATTTCTATGTCAAATCGCTACTTAGCTGTTAACAAATGTGTGAACGACAGCCTCTTCCACCTCGCCCGTCAGGAATTTCTTTTCGATGCTAATCGAAGATATATGGACAGGCACTAATTTGACATCTAATACCTCAAATATGTTTTTTTTATTTGTTTCAACCTAGAGAAAGATCGTTCGCAACTAGCAACTGAGTATTCGATTGTAAATAATAAACAATATGCAATGCAAAAAGTTGGAAAAACCTCCCAGCTAAGCTCAATCAAATAAGCAAAAAAAAATCTTTAGCATTTTTTTGTAAAATCTCTGTTTCCACTTCGGAAAAGCGACGTAACAGTATACGATTTGCCAGCCGAACAGACAGATTTTCTGGCATGGTTGTAAACATGACCTCGTTTTCCCGTGTAATTTGTTAGTTTTTGTTTATGTTACGGAAATTTCAGTACGAATGAAATATAACTTAAATATTCTGTCTTTTTATATTTAATTACAGTAATCAAAAGTTAACTAAAAGTTGAGGTTGCGTGAAATTTCACTAGCTTTCTTTGCCTTTACGCAGGTGGATCCGTATGCGTACCTCGCAAGGCGAGCAAGAGTGTGATTGGCTATTCTATTCAATTCAAGAGTCTTGCTGCACACGAACAAAAATATATTTCTGTAACGTTTCGATAGGTAAATGGAGACCTTCAGGAGATGTCCCTGTTGCTACGAAGTGCTTTAGACCCCACTTGTGGTGTTGTAGTTTGGTTTCTGCCAGTGCAATTTTCTTCAAATTGTTTAAGTCCTTTTTGTGATGTTTGTAGATTTGACGAAATGTTACAGAAATATATTTGTGTTCGTGTGCAGCAAGACCCTTGAGTTGAATAGAATAATCAAAAGTTAGTTTAGAAATACCTGTGATATAGATCGGTACTATTTCATAACAGGGTTGCCTATTTGGAATTGAAATGATTGTTTGAGACACATATATATTAACCAGTTTAAGGCGAACGATTAACTAGCGAAACAACCCTTTACATGAGCACCAAAAATGTTGCAATTAAAAAATCTAGGTACAGACGGTCGGGAAAACATCCATTGTTGGCTCATCATTACCACAGTCAGTCGCACAATACTAAACACACAATGTCAGCTTTTGATTAATAAAACAAAAAGAATATGTCTTATGTGTAATACCTCAGACTCAACATCTTGGTTCTGCTGCCCCCTACAAGGCACGCCACTGATGCCGTTTGAGTACATATCTTTGGATTAAATTATGCATTTTTAACTACAACCGCGCCATTTAATGCTCACGTGACATCAGAGAGGCTGGCGCATGCAAATCAGTATAACTGGTAAGGTCGAGCTGAAGAATAATACCGACCATCGTGAAGCGAGCGTGAATATTTCCAACAATATATATCAACGAATTTGCAAAGCGATTCAAATGGACATTTCGTGTTCATGATCAAATATATATAAATATCCATTCAGGCAAATTATATTGCACAATTTGTCTGTCGTCTGCTTCATTATATAAAAACTTCATTATTTTCTTTAAAAGATTCCTAGAATAGTTTTTGTTAGTATACATGAAATATATTTTGCAGTCAATCAGAAGAGCAAGAAAAATCATCAGAGGAGTCTTGGACTTCAGGCAACAGGTTAGTTCTTGAACCTAATTTGTCTCGTGATTTAGTCTATTTATTCATACCAACGGAATTAATACTACAATTCTATGTCACCCCTTGCGTGTCGAAGGTTACAGCCAAAGACACGAAACTTCGAACAGTGTATTTTTTGTTGAAACAGAGATGACACACCAGCCTTTTATAGTCGGAAAAAATTAGTAATTAAACAAAGCTATTCAAATTGTTCTTAGCTTTTTAAAATGGTTCGTTTAACACAGAGTTTCTTGACCTGGGTTTGATCGAACCCCTCGGGTTCGGTGAAGCTGTTTCAGGGGTTCGACGAAAGTCCTCTAAAACAGTGGTTTCCAAACTTTTTCACCATCGCCCCCCTACAGTAGTTTATACAACTTCATCGCCCCCCAGCACTACAAAAAAAATTAAAGTCAGAAACGATTATATTACAAAGTCATTATATTACAGACCAAATAAGAAAACAAATCATATTTTATAGTCTTTTTTTAATGATTTTATTTATTCAACTGTTTTATTTATTATTTGGTGACATTTTTGTCAGACACAATCTAAAATCACCCCGTTTATTGATGGGAAGGCGATTTCGTTGTTTTGATAGCAATAGTAGCATGGCTGAAAACCCATTTTTCACCATATAAGAGGTCGGAAATGAAAGAATCCAAGGTTATACCTTCTTAAAAACCGCCGTGTAGTTGCCTTGTAGCATTTAAATCCCTAAATTCACCCCATTTCACATTAAATAATGAAAACAAAGGTAATTTTCCCAAACTTTTAAAATGATTTTCGTACATTTCATTCATTCCTACAGCCTGATGACCTGCACAAAAATACATGATATATAACGATCTTCGGTAAAATTCATCCTCGATTTCTCATTCTACCATGGCCTCCAGTCCGATCACCTGTCTATATAATTAATTAGCCATTTGAGTTGGATTCATAGACTCGGATGTGGAAAAAGCCATGACCGACTATCGGCTACGGCCCAGGGGGCGGCAAATTTTAAGTCGCTCGCGGGACAAAATTAAGGGTGGATAGTCTTTTGCGGATCGCATAATATTTTTTGAAAGTTAAAATCGGAACAGCGCGCGAAAACTGCGACAAATCATGAACTCAACTCAGTCGTCTAATTAAAAAATCATTACAATGACACTTTCTTGTTGCTGCATCACGCTTAATAGCTTTACGACGCCAAGGAACATTTTCTAAGTGGGCATCACTAATCCTAGTTCTTTGCTTGTTGGACACGAAATGTCCTGTTCCCATCCATCTGGGAACCGAACGTAAATCTTGCTCCGCTACAGCGCTAAGAGTTGTTTATGAGGAATGAAGATGTTTGGGGTTTCTGGTACCCGCAATGCAGCAATGCAACGGTTTGCGATTACTTCTTAGCTAGTTGACTGATACCGGTACAGTAATACCGGTATGCGGTTTCCAGCTTATTGAAAAATTGTGTCACCGTAAGCTGTTACCCGGTAACGGTAAGTGCCGAACACTGGAATATATCAAATGTCAGAATGCCTGGTACCGGTAGTGAAATGAATTTCCTTTACCAGGTTTGGCTACTTCGCACAAAAACCAAAATTTGTACCGGTATCCGAACACTGGAATATATGAAATGTCGGAATGCCTGATAGCGGTAGTGAAATTATTTCATTCACCACATTTGCCTACTTCGGACAAAAACTAAAATTGGCATCCCGGTACCGGTATCCTTGCCTGACAAAATTTTGAACTAGATAAATATTTAAATCATACAGTTATAACTTTGCAAATGCTGATACTGTGTTATGTCAGTATGTGCAAATCAATCAAATGTCAAAATGCCTGGTACCGGTACCGGTAGTCTGGTAATGAAATGAATTTCATTTACCA